CGGTGGGCGTATCCCCGCCGAGCTACCAGTCCACAGTACGAAAGATAATCAGTTGCAATCGCAGAGGTGGACCAGCCGAGGGCGTTTCTCGTTCGCTGTAGCATAGGGGGTACGCACGGTAATATGCCTCTATCGGACCCGCACGCGAACCGACATCTTGGGGGGGCTGAGGTCCCAAGCGCGACTCATCGTCGGTCGACTAGGACGCATCCCACACACCACGCGTACTCCACTTTACGAACACTCATACACACTAAACAACATATATATGAAAAGACACAATACCAACAACGCGACAACGCTCCTAGCCCCTCGGTAGCCAACCCATAACTTTCCAATGCGGAAATCGGATAAGCGTCGCGCACTGAACTTAGTATAAAACCGCGCGGACGCAGGGCATATTCATATCAACTTGCAATGCAGGCGTACACAATCAGTCGCAACGATGGCGTACTATGTAGTGCCTATAAACAAGCGGTCCCTCGTGGATTCGAGTACCGCTTATGACACTCAAGTGTCAGACTTGAAGTGTCGTGAGGGCCTAGCCCTTCACAGCATTGCACGACTGAAGGAATAGTCGTGCAGCTGCCGAGGCACCTCAGGCTCTCGACCTGAGTGTCACGGTAGGCAAATCAAATAGGCTCTTCGCGAGGGAAAACCCCTCCCCTGCAGAGCCTAGGGCTTGGGATGTCCTCTACAAGGACCTCGAATCTCGGCCCAGGACCAAACGTCCGCGACGACCGAAATACGTCGCGACGCTGGGAGGTGCCTTTGAAAGGCGGTCCTTCCGATCGCGCTGGACCTACCGGTCGCGCTGTGCCTCGGTGACTCGGTCAGCCGGCCGAACACCCTCATCACGAGGCGGAGGAATAGCGTCCTCTGTCTCCTCCTCAGCATCCTCCCATGGAAGAACGTACCCAGAACCGCTCCCCTGACAACAACTCAATCTCAAGTTGGTGGATACTCCACCAAACGAGTCAACTTGATGAAACCAAGCTGATTACGCCTCTTCACCTGAACACGCTTATGGACGGCCCAATTCCTGTCTCTTATACACATCTAGATGTGTATAAGAGACAGCCTCCATACATCCAATCGCCCTCCAGAGAATGAAACTCCGCCAGCTGCGTGCGCAACGTCTGATACAAATCCTCGTCACCACCAGTCTGCTAGCGAAGGTATCGCAACGACTCGTTTGCCAGTATCCGCTCGTGGTCGGTACGCCTCGCCGCTCCAAAAAAAGTAATGCTCCTCTGCCGCGGATTGAGGAGGTGGGCCATGCAATGTGCGGGGTCCAACATATGAGCGACCCGTGCCTGACAAGCCTGAACAACGATGTGGAGCTCGTCCTTCGACGTCCTGTTGAGGCTTGCTCTCGCCACCCTGTCGACCATGACAAAACCCCACGACCACATGCGAGTCATCACGCGACCCCCCCTATCAAGACGCCGTAGCAACTCTATCACAGCCGTCATGAGTGCCACGATGTCCTCCACCTGCTCCCAGAATGGCGCGTACCGCACCTGATGACGCACCCATCTGGCCTGCAGAAAAATGGACCTCCTCCATGCAGTCCGCAGCCAATCGTCCCTCATCATCAACGCCTCCAACGCTCTGCGACGATCCCAGCAACCTCTCCAGCATCAAGTAGTGGGTGGCAAACCTCGTCTGCACAGGGTACACAAGCTCCCTGCCTCGCCGCTGAGACGAGGGTGGCGCAGAGCTTGAACCACCTGCCGCCGCGGAGGCGGAAGAGGGGTGGGCGGCAGAGAACCGTCGATAAAGGCTCAGAGCCGCCCCGTGCTCTCTGATGAAACGCACGACAGCTCGAGCCCTGATGATGGTGTCCTCCCTCTTCCCGAGGTTCCCGTCGTGCCCATCCTTCGCGATGTCTGACAACAACAAGTTGCAGACATGGACCGCACACGGAAGCCAAGTGATGCGGCTGTCTTGACTTCCTCCTGGGCGAGGAGCTTGGACGCAGCAACATACGCAGACGCGGAATCAATACAAATGGCGTTCACCTTGTTGACACCAAACTTGTCGAACACGTCCTTCCATCGCTCCACTACGGCCTTTGCTGTCTCCTGAACAGCACCATCCCGCTGCACAGTCCTGAAAAGGTACGCGCCCGTGGGACTCGCAGCAAGGAAGTTGACTATCTGGTCGCTCGTGATGGACTTGCGACCATCCGTGAGGATGGTCGCTCCCGTCGCCTCAATGTCCCTGCGGATGGCCGCCACCATGTCCGCCACACCTCGCTGCTGCGGAGGGATGCCTTCGCACGAAATGACACAGTGCGCGGGTAATGCCGGATGTGCATACGGCGTACACTCGAGCAACTTCTTCCTCATCCTATGATACTCTGGCCTCCTAACCGCCTTGAATGGGATGCCACTCACGTACCACCACTGCAGGACGGAGTCCGAGAATTCTCGTTGCCACACTGGATCGAAGGTCTCCAGCATGGACGTCTGTCGAAGAACTCTGCTCTTTTTGGGCTCAGAAGGTGCTGATCTCGCCTCTGTGGTAGTCATCTTCGCCTTCCTCTTTCTCTTCTTCGATCCCGCAGCCTCCTTCATCGCCCTAGCTGCCCCCTCTTGGCCACGACGGCCATCGCCCATCAACCCCCCATCCAGAGAGGCCCCAAGGTCTGCTCCCTCATCGTCATCGTCGGCGTCGGCGTCCTCGTCAGGGGTGCTTGCCTCGTCAACGGCCTTCTCCTTCCTCAGCTTTCCCCAGGCACGCTCCACCTCTCGCCGCACCTCCATGTCCTCTGCATCACTCTCACCATCATCATCTCCACCCTCGACCGCCCTCCTCTCCTCCTCGCTGTCCTCAAACTCCTCATTCCCTGCTGGCTCCCTCCCCGATCCACATCTGTTGTCTCGCAACCCACGAGACTTCAGAAAGTCCACGATCTTCCATGCATAGCTTGGATCGAACCCGTACTTTGTCTTGTTCCATATCTCCGCCATCTGCTCCACGGAGATTTTGGCGCAATTGTTCTTGATCGTGAAGTGCTGTGCGAATTTCGTCTGGCTCCCCTGAAAACCCTGTCCACACATCTTGCACTCCATGAGGAAATTGCCATTCGAATTCGGCATCGTCTGCCCCTTCGTAACCCACTTAAAGCAGCAAAACTTCAGCTCCGCCTCCTTCTGCTTGTCTTTACTGATCGGAACGAATGGTTGATCTCCCCTCCCTTTCTTGGGCGCCGTTGTAGCCTTGCAGGTAGCACACCGCCCACAGATGCCGGAGCGGAGCTCAGTGGACAGCGCCAAAGCCCGTCCTGCCCAGGCATGTCCCCCTTCCCCCCCCCCCCCCCCCCCCTCCCAAACGGGCCCGACACTCGAAAACCTTGTTCGCGAGCACGGCCCGACCACTGGCCCGTTTAGGCGTACGGGCCGTACGTACGGGACGCTGCGTACGTATGCTCGTACGGGCCGTACGTACGGGTGCCTCCGTACGTACGGGCGCGTGCGCGTGCCGTCCGCCGCCGCTGCACCGCGTGCCCTCCCGGAGAGTCGGCCGCTCCCATTGATCGCGCCTCCGTCGCTGTCGCCGGAACCGTCGTCGTCGCGTCCGCCGCCGGCGTCGGTGGGATCTCTCTCTCTCTCTCTCTCTCTCTCTCTCTCTCTCTCTCTCTCTCTCTCTCTCTCTCTCTCTCTCTC